TCCTCCGCCAGTCGCTGGAGCAGTCTCGCCTCTTCCGCCTTCATGTTGTCAACTTCCTTCCGGATCGCCGACACCTTTACAAAAAATGCAAGGGGGGGGGGGGGGGGGTACTCATAGTCGTGCATGCCGTAGTCATTAGACCATTGACCTCGCATCCCTACAAAGCCGGGACGGAGCACGCCGGGTTCTCACCGGACCAGGCTCTCACATCACCAAGCGCGAAGCGCCGTGAGGTATTTGGCGAGTCGCATGAAGGGTGAGCTGCATCCTGCTAAGGGTGTTCGGCATCTTGTGCTTACTTCCTTGCGTACGGATGACAGCTACGTATGACTTAATTTATTTTCTGGTGCTTTCACTTCCAGAGACAGTTGTAAGCACTGTGTAACTGCCTCGAGGGAGCTTGACCATTTTAACACAACGTGGTGCGATCATCCCCCGTTGCGCGGAGTGAGGGTTCTCGACCCCGCACAACATGATCTGCTCGACCACCATTATGGTTACCGCCAAAAAAAAAAAAACGAGGTAAAAAAAAAAAACGGTAACCTGGTTGCCGAGTTCACGAAGTGAATTGGCTTGTTTTACAACGTCGTTGCCAAGGGACGAAAACCCAATCCCGATGGCAAACACCGAGTGGGGGGCATATAGAGGAGGGGGGGGGGGGGGGGCATATGGACGTGGAGGCACAGATGGACGCAAAGAGAAAAGTGCACGTGGTTTACCCGCGGGATAACCCAATCAAAAGCACCACACTTGGAGTCAGCCAACGAAAAACACCCCCTTCACAGACCCTTGCAAGCCCTCCATCCCTCCCTCGAACTTCTCCGCCCGCTGCCCGGCGAGGTCCTTCCTTCCGCAAGACCGGTAGAACAAGGCCGCACACCCAATCACCACAAGCCAACACGCACGACTGGATGGAAGGAACACAACCACCAAAGAGCGACCTCGCGATCCGTACAGAGCGTCTAGCACTCTATTTAGCAGTGCCGTGTGGTGTGTTGTACCACGGGGAAATACATGTTCAGGTCCCACGCGAAGCCCAGCTCAAAACCACCATCGGACGAAAAAAGCACACACAAACCGCTGCTACAGCAGCGGTAGCAGCGGTAGCACCGTAGCACCGTCACCTGCAGGCCCTCAATAACCCTCCACTTCTCCTTCCTCTCCTCGGCCAGGCTGTTGCGGGCCGCAGTCCTCTGCACCAGGTCCGCCGACACGCGTTGCGACTGCAGGTGCCTCTCCTGCAGCTGGGCCTCCATCTCCGCCGCCTTCTTCCGCTGCCGGTCCAGCTGCTCCGACATCTTGACGGCCTGGCTCTTCAGGCTTGCAGCCGTGTCCGATTTCCCCTTGGCCGCCAAGCGGGTGGATTTCACCTTTTTTTTTGTCGGAAAACGTTTCGAGAGCGACGGAGGAGGCCACGTGCAGAAATATCGCTTGGCCGCCCGGACTGTGCCGCGAGTATGTAGTCGACGTGCGTGTTTTCTCCTACGAACGGCAACGCACACAACAGAAACACACGCCAGAAACGCCGCATGCGATCAAGCACAAAGCACGTACTTGCGACTTGAGCGCGGCGTCGCGCTCCTCGGCGGTCCGGTACTTGGAGCCGCGGCTCTGCTTGGCGTAGAGCTCTTCCCTCTGTCCCGCCGCCGCGCCGAGCTCCATCTCCGTAGCGCTCACGCTGTTGCGTGGTAACCGATAACGTTGGGCGTGCAGCGTTGGCGTAGGGTATGGAGGGCAAGAACATGACAGGACCAAGCGCTTGCGGCAAGACATGTGGTCTTTCCTGCGACCGTCATCGTCGCCGAAAAAAGTAAAAACAAAGCAATCTGCTCGTGCCTCTCCGCGAACGCGGTTGTTCCTTCTAGGGATTGGGAAACAACGCTTCTGGCCGACACGCCTCTGTAGCCACAGGTCTAGCGAAGCTATTTAGGTACTTCTCTCTTGCCCCCGTCCCCCGGCTAACCCACGACACCAAGTCTAATTTCAATGGTTCAACCGTCCTCGGGCTTTCTCCCGCCCCATTTCGTTCTCTAGCCAACAAAATGAAACACCAAAGCAGTTCATCACACACCAACGTGTGCGCACGCAAACAACACGAAGACCCTCTCCCCCGCCTCCTCCCCTGGAACCCCTCCTTCAACACATGTATCTATAATAACCCTTGGCGTTCGCCGAACCCTGCTCCATAGGGAGCACAGGCGGGAGCCCTCTCCTTAACCTTCACAAGGCAGCCAAGACACAACGCTGCTGGACGCTCCTGTCCCAGTACTATCCGCGGTCTCCCTTTCGGGGAGCCCCGCGGATTCCAAAAGACTCGCGTCGTGTCATTGGTTAACCGGCGAGCGCGGTGGGTACCCCCCCCCCTCCCCCCTCCATATCTGGGTCGGGACACCAAGCGCAAGAATGATGACCAGCTTCTGGTTCATCTTCGTGAAACGTAGCCTGGGCCGGCGAAGTCGCTCCGTCCCGGCATGGCGACGTGAGTGGTCTAACGACTACGACATGCGTACCCCCCCCCCCCCCCCCCCGCCAATGTCACCCTCCGATCGAGGTTAACCTCACCTTGCTCGGGCCTTGTCGTACGCCGGCCCCGCCTCCGTCTCGAGGTCTTTTTTCCGGGCCGCGATGTTGGCGTCCAGGGTTTTGAGCTCCTCGGCGAGGCGTTCCTGCTCGTCCCCGTCCGTCGCCACGCGCTCCGACAGGTCCTTCACCTCCAGCTCCAGCTTCGCTCGAACGCCGAGAAGCTGTCGTAGTCGTCGGTGTTGGTTTTGGTTATTGTGTATGGTGTTAGTGTCAGGGTTTGTGGTTGGTGTGTCGTCGATTGCGGTGGCGGCGGGGAAGATATTAAGGAAAAATAAATACAAACACAGAAAGAGCACCCATTCGAGATATACCCACAGATAGAGGGACAGGAAAGGGGTCGAGTGCTGCATAAAAACGCAGGACAAAGATGCCGCTGGTGCACCACCATGCGGACAACGTGCGAAAATCGACGTCCAGAATAATGCACACAAGCTCAACTATCGCGCTTTCGCGAGTACCATCACGTATCCCGGAGACAACATATCCCACGGGGCCGGATACGTAAGTCTCCACCTTGCGCTTGCACCCGAAAATGACACTACTGTTGTCACCGAAGTGGTTTCTTCGCCCACTCGTCAGTATCGCATGCCCGCTTTGACCCCGGGAGCGGTGAAACATCGTCCCCTGAATCGCAAGAACGTTTCCAAGGCTCGACCAAACATAACTCAAGCTGACGGACAAATTTGTGCTGCGTGCGCGCTTCGAGGAGAGACGGCCATGCCACCTTGCGCTGTGCGAGACAGCACTAGCACAGGCGCAACAAGAGGTTTCTATCCCGGCATGTACAACCTAAGCGACGGGCGAAGCTGACCTCGCGACGCTCGGCTTCCTTGGCGGCTACTTGTTTGTCCAGCTTGGATGCCGCCGTCTCTCCGTCGGCCAAGTCTTTCTCGTCGTGCCTAAAACAAGCCAAGAGCAGTCGTGGTGTAGGTCGGTGTAAGGGGCAGGACTTGGAAAACCCGGAGCGGGGAGGGGCTTGAGAACGTTAAGGACAACGTCATAAGCTTTGTGCAACTACGTGCGTTGAAATTCTTGATGCTTTACCCTGCCATCTCTCTCAGTCGCTCAATCAGACAGAACGAGCGAGCGAAACAGGGAGGGGGGGGGGGGGAGCAAAGGCCAAGAGTTGAAGAAAAATGAACACGAAATAAAAGAGGAAATGATGGAGGCAAGAGCGAACTGAGCTGCCTTCCTTTGCTCACCCCGCTTGCGAGCGCGCGTGTTGGAGCCTCTCCTGCAACTCCCGGATGCGGTACTCTGTTTCTTCCATGGCCCTGTCTTTGTCCTGGAGGGACTCTCTCGCCTGGAAACAACAAAAAATCAAAACACAGCAGCCAGTGGTCAGACGCGAAAAACACAAATCGAACAGGCCATATTGGGGAAGAAACAAGGTGCATGCGTCGAAAACATCTCGGTGACGCGAACAAAACAAATCGAAAATGCCATTTGCACGATAGGGAAGAAACACGAGAGCAAGATGCACGCGTCCAAAACATCCGTGTGGAACTCCAGCTAGACATCGCAGCGTACGGAAGTCGAGACGGCCGTCGTGGGGGAAGAAAAAACAAGGTCGAATCTGACAGCTGTGCGAGAAATCGCCACGGGTCTACGCTTTTGAGGAACAAAACGATAAGAGAAAACCATCACACAACGAGTGGGATTGTGCCAAGTGAAATATCGAATTTCATAGAAAATGAAAAAACAGTAGCTGAAACAGCGCAAGTCATTTTTGCATACCCTTTGGTGTAACCATCAGTTGCGGTGAGTCGGAGGTAATCATAACAAAGTGAAAAAAAATGAACATTTCGGCGCTCGGCACAACGCCTCATTACCAAGCACCCCGTTTCTTTCCCGCCAGCCAGCATCCCCCAAGTCTCTCTCTGCTTGCCATACTTTACCGAGAGCAAGGGCAAACACTTACGCCAGGCACATACCCATCTCAACGCCAGCATGTACATCAGCCTGTGGGGGGGGCTCCGTATCGCCTACCTACCTTGGTGAGCTCCTTGTCGTACAGGGCAAACTCCAGGGCCCTCCTCTGCTTGTCGTGCTTCTGGTACGCGCCGAGCTCTTCCTTCTCTTCTTCGAGCTCCCCGAGACGTTCCTAAAGAAATAAACGAGGCGTTTATGGTTCGGGAATGAGGGGAGCGAGCGGCTAACATGCCGCATTCATAGCAGACGTAAACACAAGAGGTGTATCGGTCGCTCAAGGAAAGCTGGAAAACGCTGCTAGGAAGACAGCTTTCTTCTGGTCAACAAAATAATTGTGGTGATACATACAGGCGCAGACTTTTGCCCCCGACGACCCACAGCGAATGAAGAACGACGCAACCTGCCGTACACCGCCGTGTGCGCTGCCGCAGACGAGAAAAGCACGCGCAAGGCCGCGTTGCGCACCTCGATGAAGCTGATGACCTCCTGGATCTTTTCGAACTTGTTGTTGAGCTCGTCCATGATCTTGAGGGATTCCTGCCTGCGCTCTTCGTACACCTGTGGGGGCGACGGGCGGGCGACCGCAAGCGATTAGACCATCCAATCAAGACGGCACAACTTGGACGAATTTCACCGGAATCGGTCGTTGCTCTCTTGTGGAAGTTTGGTGTTTGTTGGTTAGTCTGCAACAACGGGCGCCGGGCTTTTCACAACTGGTTGGATCAGCAGGGAATGGAGATTCTGGATAGAGAACGAAAGCTTTTTCGGTAAAGACATAAACATTGGCAGCAACAGCAACAGCATTTCGACCAACAGCAGCAGTAGCAGCAACAAAAACAGCAGTAATCACAATCTCTAACCTTCGTGCCCGCGACCTCCTTGAGCAGGTTAAGTCTCTCGGCGTCCTTCATTAGCGTCAGTGCCGACACCTTGCCCTGCTGCACGATGTAGTACGGGTTCGCCTTTGAAAATCCTGCGCTCTCCAGGAGACTTGACACCTTTGCAATAAACAAAAAAGAGTCATCGCAGAGCCGAATCGGGTTAGGCACTCGCAGGGGGTGTGGCGGCGTGTAACTTCGTCTGATACCAAATAACTGAGATATTCTGTTCAATGGTGTCGCTAGGGAGGGCTTTCTGGCGACTGGCGCGTTCTCGAGGTGTCTTGAAACCTGCACCAAATCAGCACCAAACATCGATCAGTCAAAGAGCGTGCTACAAATCTGGGGGACGTTAGCCAATCGTAAAGCTAGGCAACGAAAGTACCGAACAGGCAGAGACACGGGGGCGTTGAAGCCGAAACACTCTTTGCATCAGCCTAAGCCTTGATCACACCACAAACATCGGGATGAGAATAGACTATACCTAGACAAGGAGGCAACCATGTGCCTACACACGTCGGCACCCACGTCCGCCAAACTTGAGCGCACCGATAACCCCTCTGTCACACTCCTCCTCCTTCCCACCCACCTCCTGCTTCGTCACGCGCTTGAGGTTGAGGAAGAACTCGTCCTTCTTCATCCCTATGTTGCGCCGCAACACCACTTCGTCGCCGTCCTGATGCGGAGGGGGGAGTGTATGGGGTTCTCAACTACTAAAAGTGTCGCACCCTTTTGTAGCCGGGATGGGGAGGGTCGGCCATGTTCGATTTTGTTGAACGAGCCACAAGTTGTAGTTGATTATTTGCTTGGCGGCCATGTGGTTTTGATGACAAAAGGTTGCATTCCATAGAGCGAGGTGCAAAAGCGGATACGTTTCCATGGATTGCCAGTAACAGCAGTATCTCGTTCTCTCTCTCTTCTGCCTACTGGTGGCAGGAGCATACCAAATCAGAGAGAAGGGGACGCTCTCGAGATCGAGGATCGTGGATGCACACATGCGTCCATACATGTCCCCAATTGAACGTTGCATCACTCGGGTAACGGACCAACAACCAACCAAGATATTTGAAAAAATTTAAACGTGGTGAACTATTAGCAGTAGAGCAACCGACGAAGCACACCATTTTCGAACACATGCCGTGACCGTTCAGCTACCTCTCTGCCGCTAAACCCCTCCCCTCTGCTTCTCATTGACAGGGCAACAAGGACACAAAGGCAGCTCGTGTACAGGTACCGTCAGTGTCTCAGCACACACCGACCTGTGCTAAACGGCCGTCGGAGTTGTCGAAGACGATCTCGACGTAGGCGCTCATGAGCTTCGCCCCGGCTCCCTCGTGCAGCAGCAGCTGCCTCTCCTCCTGTCGCAGGTTCGAGAACCTCTGGTTGAGCAACGCGAACTGGATGGCATCGAAGAAGTTGGACTTGCCCGACCCGTTCCTACCGACGATGACGTTGTGTCGGGGGCTGAAGGACTCGATCTCGGGCTGCGACCGGAAGCTGCGGAAGCCCGACATGGACACCTGTTTGATGTGCATCTTCTCGCCGCACCCTGTCGGTGTTGGTACTGTTGGCCTTTTTCCTCCGGAGCTTTTTGCCCTCTTCAACCGTGCCGGGCTATGGGGTGAGGGAGGAGGTCCAAACGAGCGTGCTCTCTCTCTGTCTCTCCTCTCTCAAGGGAGCTGGCAGCTCTATCCGCGAGAGAAAAAAGCCGCCGCTCGAAATTTTCAAAATGTTGCTCCTGGAAAAAGGGGATGTCGCAACCAAGAAAACAGCCTTTGACGACTATCACGTATAATTTGAAAGGATGACCCTGGTGTCGGTGCCGGTATGCAACGATGACCCCCTGTTGTTGCTTCCTCGCCCTCTCGCTGCTCGCTCTTTTCGTCCTCGCGCTGCTGCCTGCTACCGCTCCTGATTTCAAATCTAGGGGGAGACGCAGAATCAGAAGTTTGGCACGGTATGCGGTGTTAATGATTCATCTTGCGGAGATCACCGGTGTTCCGCCGCAACTTCGCTGTTCGCTGTGTCGTCCAAACTTCCTGTGCTTTGTCAACTGCCCCGACCTGGCCGGCTCCCTCTCTCGTATTAGATCTACAGCCATACACCGTACCTCCATCCTTCTGCCTGTTGGCCCGAGTCGCAGTACATTAGCGATGATCGTGTGCATCGCAATAATCGGTCGACAGGTGAGAAGGGCAGTACTTCCTTACTGGTCCGCAACTCATCCCGTAGACCAAGCTGCAACAGGCAACAGGATGTGGTGATGCGGAACGGCCGTGAATGTGCCTTCATAATCCGCCTACCATGCGAGCTATGCGAGCTTCCTGTTGCGAGTTGTCGAGAAGTGAAAACTTTGTCGAAACAGGGGTACTACATGTAAGTAAAAAAATGTACAATCGTGCAGGATACACCTCGCAGAGAGCGGCACAAGTCTGGGCTGGTTCGAACGGCACTCTCTTGGACGCATGTGCTCTCTCCATCTCTTCCCCTTGCTTCGGCAGACCCTTTCCTCGTGCCGATCCTTATGCCGTTTCCCCTCCTGCTTGCTCTTTGCTTATTTTCACGGCTTGTCCAGAACGAGCCGCTGTTTCTGCGAACGTACACCGACGCGGAGGGCGAGGAGGAAGAGGACGCCAACCTCCGCCTGCACAACATCGTACACAGCTCGCTCGATGTGGTCGGCGAGCGAAAAGGTATGCTCGCTTCCGCTTGTTTCCGGGCTGTAAGTTTCGCTCACAGTGATATGATGAAGCAGCAGTGTAATTTAGGTGCTGCTGTTGATTGTTCAACATCTCATGGGTGGGGGGGTCAGAACCCAGCTGGATCGATCCACCGGAGACTACCACAAAGTAGGCTTGTGAGAGATTGCAGGAAACAAGGACTTTTGGCGGCGGTAGAGGTTTGGTGTCGCATGCATCATGCTCGCGTTCTGCAATCGTTATGCGACTTGCGGGTCGTCGGCCGCTTTACCCACATCTATGCTACCTCTGTTGCCAGCGCCATAGGCCCGCACAATAATATTGTCGTAAAACCACAGCACTTTAGTGACGAGTATTGTCGTAAACCACAGCACTCTGTTGCCGGATACACGCGGACCCAGCCGCTGAGGAGCTGAGCCGTGCGCTGATTTAGAAGTGTCGCGATATTCACATGCTTGGGGGTTGAAGCTTCCAAAGCGCACACCAACTGAAATCAACCCTTCTCGCACTGCACTGCTCTGCGGAGTATGAAAGTACTGGTTGGAGGTCAAATCGTTCCACGATGACGACACACTACCCAGTACCGTGGTACTTATACCACAGACTACCAAACTTACAAGTGTTCACTTCTGGAACTATCCTGGTCACGCACCGTGCGTCTTTGTCACCTCGACCGGTGGTACTGACAGTAGGCCGAAAGGGCGCTTCCGGCGCGGCGGATGTGTCAACTGACATGTTTCTGGGACACCTCTGCCCGATCGACGAGTACCGAGTTTACGGCTACATGACGAGCACTCGCCTCAAGCTGTTGGCCGTGTTGGAGGACGTGAACGATATCCGAGAACCAGAGCTAAAGAGGGTGAGCGATGAATCAAGTGACACAAGCCAACCCGTGTCCATGTTTTGACCCCTTCAACTAGAGGAATCGTTGAGGGCGTGTGCTCATGTGAGGGGGACGGTGCGGGCCAATTATATATCGTCATGGGTTTGGGCTGGCTTTGTTATTTACTGGCGCAAGTCAAACGATACCCCGAGAAGCAACCGGTTGCGCACCTACCACGCACCTTTGGCGGGTGAAGCAAGGTCGCGTGTGTGTGTCGTGTACGAGAGAGGGTTGATTGAGTAGCTCCCATCTCGAAGTGTGTTTGAACTCTGTGCAGCACGCCGCTCGGTTGGCACCGGGCAGCACCACGGCAGCAACATATGCCGCTTTACGTGTGTTCTTGTTACGCCCATGGTTCGCAGACAGTTCTCTCCAGCAGTGTGTCCGTAAGCAATCGACCTCAGTGCTTTTGGCCCCCCGTTGCCGCCGCTGCCGCCGCTGCTTTTGTCTGCTGTTCGTCTGACCAGGTATTTTCGACCGTGCACAACTTTTACGTGAACTACCTCCGAAATCCTTTCTCCCCCCTGGCGAAACCCGTGGATTCGGCGAAGTTCCGTCTATCGGTAGACCGACAAATCAACGACTACAACTCGTGACGAGTGGTCGTATTGGCGTCTTGCTCGTGGCGCTGTGTACAAGCTGAGAGGATGGGGCGGTGGTGGCTCACTGCCGAGCTTCATCGACGTGTTTTACGCCACCAACTTGCAGCGAATGGACGACCCAGGGCCTCGAGGCTGTCCTGCTGTAGTACCTTCGGCTTTCCCTAAGGGTTGCACCCTCTAGTAATCAACGCTTCCGCCGGCCACTTCTGGGCTTGAAAGGAGAGATACGTGCGTTTGCGTTTCCCCAGCCTGGAAATGTGTACCGTGGCTTGTTAGGCGTGCAATCATCGTCCGGCATTCTGTCCTGAACGCAAACGACCGGCGGGATTTCAAGTCCCAGCTTTGTGTGTTTTGAATGCTGCCTCGGGCACCCCTTATCGCCCGTACTTCAGGCGAGTACGGCGTGTTGATTGCTACTGTGCATCGTCATCGGCGTTAAGCCAACAGGTGACACCAGCAACCCAGAAGCCGATTTGGACCGACGATAAGCAAGGAAGCGATTGAGAAGGCACCGTACGGAGGGAGATTGGTGTGGTATCAGTGCGTCAGTGCTTCTCCGCAAACACATGTGTGGGACAGGCTACAATTTGGAGCGGGCGAAACCTTGATTTTGTTGTTGTCTGCCATGTCGCAGAATTTCTTCAGTGACGTAGACAGGACCGTGCGCAGTACGGGCATCGCGATTCGTTTGGCTACGTACGATAGGTGGAAATCGTTTCAGAGGCTGGTCGAGTTGTCAAGTACTTTTGGTCCAATCACGCGCCCTGCCCAAAGCTCATGAATGTTCCTGTACATGTCCAAGGCCCATTCCGGCCGGACGTTTCAACCAGGACGCCCGAACGGCAGGGAACAATCCACCCCGAAGTGGCGGACGCGGCGTGTATGCATCGTTCATTTTGGGTGCATATGTAGCGCCCAATTTAGCATCCTAAGGCGATGCGATCGTGTTGAGCCATCGGTGTTGCGGGTTCTTCAGATCGCGGCCGATATTTTACGTTGCGGTCATGCCCAGCGCTTTTCATCTCCGCGTTTTGTGCCGCCGTTCAAATCGAGTTCGGAGGGTTCGATTCAAGACTCCTTGCGCCCCGAACGTTCTGGCTTCGCGGCTTTCAATCGTAAAACCTCCTGGCCAATACACCACATCTCTTTTGACAGCGGTTCCTCTTTTCCGGAACTGGAGACGAACACCTCTCTTGCCTGTTGATCGAAGAGAATGCACGGTTTGGAGGCGCGAGGTACTCAGCATGTTTCCCGAGAGCTAGCACAATGGTACGTTGTTGATCCACGTGAATGCATGGTTTGGAGGCGTGAGGTACACAGCATGGTTCCAGAGGGGAAGCATGTTGGTACGCTACGCAGCCAAAGAATGCGAGCATCCATGCCTCTCTCTCAAGGTGATGTTGCATCATGCACAAGTCTACATCGATACATCTGTGTCATGGTGAGGGATGGAGGAAACTGGTCGTCTTCAACACTGACTGATCTTTCACCCTTACTTCCAGGGGTCCTGAACAAACCATAGTTCGTAACGAGTGTCCGCATTTACGTCTAGCTCGTCTGTTGTGCATCTTGGAACTATTTTCGACCAACGGTCGTTTGGTCGACGAGAGGTTGTGGCACTGTAGTGAAGAGAGCTCGTATATTCTATTATGTGACGCTCGCGAGCGGCGTTGGTTGGAAAGGAATCTTGCGTGATATACTTCCAAGACTGAGGTGACACATAAGCAGCATTGCAAGCTCGAGCTCTCCCTTTCTAATAATGTGAGCACCTGAGAATGGAATAAGAAGACTTTCAGCTCACCATGCGCCTGACGAACTTCAAAGCACCCTGCGCTTTCTCCAGAGCCGCTCGCCTGGACTGAGCCGTAACTAGAACCCCAACCATTCCACATGCTAGACTGTCCACCAGGTTGAAAATGGTGCCAACCTGCGACGATGGTAAGCACGAGAGGATGGATTGTTTGTTTCTCGAAATCTAAACTTCGCACACCGCATGGGTGCAAAATGTCGTGTCTCCAGTTTTGTTACGACGTTGTTGTTGCTGTCGTCCACTTTTTCAGGAGACGCTTCGGTGAAACCAAAGGCAGGGTCCAGCTGTGAAGGGTTAGGCGACACAGGCAAGTCGGTTCTTGCAAACCAATGCTGAAACACTTATAGCGCGTGTCGCAGGCTGCGATGTCCTGGATGAAGTCTGGCCTCGAGTGATACCGGATATATCAAAATCCCTCAGCAACCAAAAGCGGCCGATACCGCCTGATAGCCAAGACTTAACACATACTTCTATTCCGCCCCATGACGGTCCATCAGGACGATTTCACACACTATGAAAGCTGACGCCGCCATACGTTTCGATGTAAACAAGACTCGGTGACACCCTCGGGATTTACAAGAGAACCACAACGCAGGTTATCCCGCGTAAATGGGTTCTTCTCTGGGCGTTTCAGCGAACGTTTTTCTCCGCGGCCGCGAAAGGGTTGGCTCACCTGAGTGGAGAGGTCGAATGAGATGCCCTCCAACCGACATAACTTGAAGAACACAGGTATGCGTAGTGATCGCAAGCTGGGATGGTGCGCTTGAGATATGTAGATGTAGTGCAGCTGGCCTAGTAGAACGGCAAACAGAGACGAACCGCCCGCAAAGCTGTGATGATGGAATATACGACTTTTACACTCCGAGTGGAGTAAGGCTGTGATGATGGCATAATTCAGCGTTGTCACGCTGAGCGAAGACTCCACATGGAGAACGCAACTTGTTCGAATGCTCACCTTCCCGCTCCGTGTCGCTCCCATTGGTGGGTTCTTCGTAGCACCCGAAGTCTTGACTTCGTCCCGGACTATTCGTCAGCGACCTAAAGAAACAAAAACTGAATGCCGAAACACTCAACCCGAGCTCAAGCCCGGTTGCCCATAACCGCGGAGCCTCTACACTCTTATCCCAGAACACGACAAAGTGGATCGACGCGTATCCCATCACGCCGCGTGCGCAAAGTTCACGGGAAACTGCGACTGCAGCTCCTCGAAGAGCACGCGACGAGACGCATCGCTGAGGGTATACGCAGCCGACATTGTGGAAAGATGCATCTAGCAGCCTCTCTGTTTCTGCTAGACAAATAATTTCTCCGACTGGAGAAACAAAAACACTGCACGTCGGATAGCTTCGCGTTTCGAGAGCCTCCGCTTCAATCACTCCTCCCACCCGCGCGAGATGTCCAAGGAAAAACGCCCAGGTAGGATATGACTCGCTGTTGCAGATAAATAGCACACGATGGAGACAGCGACGCAAAGTCTTCAGCAGCCTTGCCCGTGCCAAAAGCTGCACGTCGGGGTGGTGCCACACTCCCGCCGGCCCACCGTTTGCGCGCTCAAGCTGCGCCTTCTCCCTCTTGAGACTCGCCATGCACGGCAGAGAAGACGTATCCAGCACAGCCAGGCCACGGTTACCCTGGCAAGTATCCAGCTTGATGTGCCACCGTCGAACCTCGATGTTGCATGCAATCAGCTTTGTTAAGGCTACCATGAGGTCTTCTTCGTCGTACACGTCGTGCGCACCGATGGGAGCGCTGACATCCGCCGCAGCAAAAACGCGCTTCATCCCCGATTGTGTCTGGCAAAAGCGCGCTGTCGCGGGATCTGCTGAGAGTACGGGGGTGCCCAAAGCGACGGCCAGCTTCTTTTCTTGCCAGCCAGCTTCGCCCGACAGAATCATCGCCGGTTTACCTTTGACTATGGTAATTACTCTTTCGAGGCATCCCGGAGAATACAACAGTAGAGAGGCAAGAGAGAGGCGGCTGTAGAAAAGGCTGACGTTCTCCGGAACCACCACCGTAATGCGCCTGCGTGCATCGCGAACTCCGTTCATTTCCATGATTTTGCGGTGGTACTCCAGAACGTCCTCGTCCGGCTGAGAGGCCGAGACGCACACCAGGTGAACTTTGGGGTCCACCAGCCAATGCATGCAGGATACATGGAGACCACGCTCCTTGTCATCGATGGCGGCGAGCAGCAAGACCAAAACTCTCTCTTGGTTTCGCACGTTTTCCCAGTTACCCCTCAGCCCGTCCTGCAATTCCTGCCACCTCGACTCGGCCTCCCTTCTTCTCTCGACCAATCTCACCCCCAATAAATTCCTAGCCCTTCTGCCTCGGGCTAATCGCTGCAAAGTGACCGCGGCGTTCCGTCGGTTCTGCAGCACAAGAAACTTAGAGCGCTGTAGGAACCCACGAGCGCGAGCCTGGATTGCTATGGCCGCCAGTTGTGCAGCGGACGGTCCATTGGGAACGATCCTCGTGTGGCGGAGAAGGGGTTTGATCTGTTCCAAGTTGGCGATGACAGAGCACAGGTCGGCTTCATCCACCCTTTCCAGGTCGAATTGGGCAAGCTCTCCGAGCTTTTTGCCGTCAATGACGGCAAGGGGGACCGAGTTCATCGTCATAATCTCCTCGAGAATGGAAACGCATCGGTCGATAGAACTCCAGCTTGCTTGGTGTGTCCGCGCCAGGGATGTAAACTCAGGAGTGTCCCGGATCACTCTCCCCTTCCATATGACAAAGTGGTGCAGACTATACTCATCAAGCAGGTCCATGTAGCAACGGATTTTGTTGACTTCCGACTTCATTTCCTCGTCGGTATCATTGTGCGCCTTAGACCCTCTTGCTTTGTCACCTTGCCTAGGAGCCATGCCGTCGCTGCTTGGTGCGTGCTTTTTTCGTGTCGGCATACCCTCCGCCACTTCGGGAGCAGACCCCACCTGTGTTGTTCCCAGGCCAAACCGCGAAGATTGGTGGGTTTACGCAGAAATTATATCTACCGTAGCTTTACATCATCAGCTGCATGCGCATTTCCCAACGCTGCAACAATACTGCAGTCGGCGCTCGAACGGTGAAACTCATTGCCCTTGTCACAATAAATAAAATATTTAAAGAAGGGTAGTCAACGTCCAACCCAATGTGCTAGCGGTCTGTACGAGTAGGGCGCACGGTACTCTATACATCCGCTGTCTTGACAACAGTATAGACTATATAGGCTGGATCATGGTCGATTTGGGTGCCGTTAGCATAGTTTCAAGTTGCGCAAAACGTGCAATGTCCAAGGGCAGCAGTCTACGGCAACAAGAGGGCAATCATGTTTATAATCCTCATTATAGCTTGTTCGCTCATATGACTTGTTGTAAAAATGGGATCATACCTTTTCGACGTCGAGTTTTATTTGTGATAAATTGTGGTCGTCAGAAGCGATCTTGGACCTCGAACCCAGGAAGCTGTCCAGTGTGGATTGCTCATGGATTTCCACGGGCTTGTTTACCAATATGTCCGTCAATGTGCAGCAGCGGTGCTGAGGCTCCGCCACTGGGGGAGGAGCCCGATCTCGATCAGAACTCTGCCGGAGCTTGGCAATGGCTTGGCGACGACTTGTTTTCCCATATATCTGGGCCACAGAAGCAACAGATGCATACAGATGGAGATCCAGAGAACGGGAATGATGCGCGGTGCAAGTCATTTTTTTATATGGAGTTGTAGGCAGGAGTATTGTACAGGCTACGAGACAACGGCGGTGAACGTTGGTGACGATTACCAATGGTCAGAGCCACACACACAACACGCAAACAATAAATGCCGAGATCCACGCTCAAGAGAGGGCGTACATACAAGTAGACTTGAGCGATTTGGAAGCCCAGTTTTCGCAGATACTTGCCCGGCCAAACTCTCCACGCATTGGCCCTCTACTGGACCACTTTCAGACTTGGTCTCGCACAAGGAAGATTCCTCCTCTATCATACACGCACTGACTCTTGGCTCCAGATGTACACTCGCCTTCTCATGAACACCGCCGCGTCTCTGCTCTTCAGATTTTTGCATCCGCTGCGCAACCTGAGCGATCGGTATCGTTTGGACCTCATCGCTAGGGCGGTCCCGTGTCATCGAGTCTGTGGAAGTGCCAGAAGAACCCTGGGGGAGAGCCTGCCACAGACTGGCACTCACCGGCACCCGTGCGGTGAGGACGGCCTGCGAAATTGTTTTTTGAAGTTGAAGTTGACGTTTCCGACGTTTCTCATGTGGCCTCTTTGACGTGTGAAACCCAAATCTCCGACGTATGAGTTGGTGATTCCGCCGCGTCTTTCACACGCATGCACCAGCCAGCACACCCCCGCCTTTCGCCCTTCTCCCTGCACAGCGATGAAGTGGGCGACACTAGGAGCGCTCCTTTTGTGTAAGGCATCAGCCTTCCACTTGCCTGGGGTGGTACGCGTTGGGCCATCACGGAGAGCCAACTCCGTTCTTGAACGGCGGGAGGCGAGACATGCCGCTGGTCGAGTTTTAGCCTGCACCGCAAAGGACGAGGCTAACAAGGTGCGACAACAGCAGTAGGAGCAGAGTGAGACACATAAATCTTCACCAAATACTTCGCCTCCATTCGATGTGTGTGTAATCCTTGTAGCAGCTGCTGCCGTGGTAACTTGAAAGTGGTTCTTCCTAAGGCACAGTGTCCTCAGACAAAAGCAGGATTTCTCCCCCACTCACTGAAAGACCTTCAACACCTCCCCTTCGAGTGCATGTTTGCAAGCTGCTCGTGGTGTTATCACGAACGGGTGGTGTTTCAGTGATGATATTTTCCAGAAACGACCGTCACGACTCATGACCTGTCTGGCGATACCCCAGCCCCTTCCACCACCTCATTTCTTGGCCGATCATCGCGACGTGTGGCAGGGTGTGGCTGACGAGGATGATCCTCTAGACCTGAACCTTGATGATTTCAGCGAAGCCGAAATATCAGACGCGGAGCTGGACAAGATGCTGCAGGCGGTGGAGCATGGGATCTCAAGACACAAACCGAAGGCATTGGATGGTGAAGCTGGACGACGTGGGGAGGTAGATGAGGTGAGCAACTGGAACGACCAGCGTGTACTTAATACGTTGACTCCAACACTGGCAACCCTTCCTGAAGCTTCCAGTGCAGCTATTCGAGAGCACAAGCCGCGACGGAGTATGTGGGCACCACGTATGCAGTACACTTCCCCTTACCGGCTGATAAAACTTTTGCTTACAGCAAGCAGTTGTACACCAGCGTCTCCAATGCCATGGCAAGGTACCTGTGAGCTGCAGCTGCCGCTGTGACTGATATCGCCGGAAGTGTCAGTAGTTCTTTTTTTCTGTGTAGACTCTTCCCTGCCACATTAGTTCTGTTGGCGGGGTGTGTTCTGCTGCCGGTTGTCATCCGCCAGCGTTCAACGTTGGGCGGGGCCTCCATAAGCGAAGCGTCTCTGGTACAATCCCTTCTAGCATGGCACCCTCACGCCGCCTCTTTGTCCTATCCCTTTTCCGGAACCCCCTCCCCCCGCAGGCGAAGATGATCATGCTGCTCAGGCAAAAGATGGGCGAGGAAGACTTCTACGCGGTGTTTGATCCCAGGAATCCGCGTATCGGGGATGTCTGAGACATGCGGTATTCGTTAGGCGCGCGTGGCACGAGCAAGTGTGTGTTCGGCCTTGCAGTATTTTGAACCCCCCCCCCACTATTGTAGCGCTTTTCTGTAGACAGCGTGAGAAAAGCAGAGCTTTGATTGTAGATGTTGTGCATCGTGTTTGCTGTTTAATTTTACGTAGGGTCAATTATACCTCATGGATATTAATTTTTCTTGGTTTTGTCCTGTACGATGTTTCGTTTGTAGGCCTGTGTCCAGTATCGTTGAAATACCAGTCCTGTCATTCACGTGACGAGGCCCATGCTTCTAGGATTATTGAGCAATCAATATCCGGTGTTGACAAATAGGAAAAATGTGGGCACCTTATTTCCCACAAAAGAAGAGGAGTATGGCGAGCCGAGGTCGCGCAAGAGATGCGAATGGACACGGGATGGTTGCCGCAGTCTAGACCAGCACGCCCTTGCTTGGAGCTTGCGACTAGACCCTTGACAGGCTCTGTAGACCGCAACCTTTATCAACGGGTCGGGCACGTACAAAGTTGCTGGTGAGTATTTTGCGCCGAGAGCAGCACTTTCACGTCAAGCTCGTTGAAGCGGGGAGAAATCATCGAGATACGCAAGAATACTGAGAGACTGAAACGGCTGCTGCCCGTACACAACGAGCGTCCCCGTCCACAACCAACTCAAAGCGAATGTCTCCATGGTGCCCAAGCATGCCCTCAACCTTGACGACGAAGGTATGATGCACTTCGAACCGTGCACTTCGAACTGGGTTCAATTCGAGAGTGGCATCAAAGTATCTATGTAGCGCGATCTGTTTGTGTAGCTGTTTTTTCAGCTGCCCGGGAGGGGAAAACATTGGCTTCCCGGTCTGCTCGGCAGGGGGGTGATTCCTTGAAATAGAACCACGACTACCCTGCGAAGGGGAGAGAATACGATAGGCACACCGTTCTGCTGGCTATGTAATCTCATGCCGTAGATATTTTGTACAGCAATCGCGTGGAAAACGACGGTAATTGCCAATCACGACCTCAACGACTCGACCAGCTACAACATGCGTTTTCATGCGAGAACCCCCATCCCTCCCCCCGAAAACAGAAATCACGCCCCCCTGGGCTAACTCCCGTCGGGAGGGGGGGGGGGGGGTACTTGCCTCTTTCGTTTTAATGTGGACCTCTTTCGCCGGTCAGATCGAAGTATTGACGGCAATCCGGGGGGGGGGCAGCTAAAAGGCTTGCTGTAGCTCGAATATAAACAGTCGCGACATCCGCTAAGACAACACTACATACATAGGTTCTCGAGAGATCTCATCCTACTTCAAGAAAAAGGCGTCCTCTCCGCCTGATCCACATACCTCACCAAAATTGTGCAGGAATCACGGCTGGCTGCAGTCTGGCCAGCACAGGAGGTAATAGGGCAAACGTTGAGTTGGGACGAACAAACTCGGGCACAGGGCAACTTGTTCGCTATAAAACAGCCTCGCTTCGATCATGCTTTTCGTTGACGAAATACAGATGCGAACTAGCTTTATTGACTCATGTATCCATCGGGTTGTGCGCCGGACTTGTTCAGCCGTCTCTATGAGACCAGGCCCACTACCAACCAGGCAATCTCAAACACTGCCATGCGTCATAGCGCACGGATCGAAATCAAACCAAGCAGACACCGGTCGCCTCGTTGTTGAGGAGGCCAGAAAATACGCTGGCGGCCCCACGTCAGGGCTCACGTGCTTGGCGGATGACAAGATACTCGCCGTTTGGGCTCCCAAGAATGATTCGGCAATATTTGACGGACGAACCAAGATTCTTCGACGTGACAATATGTTGGGTTGGATTTTTCCACCAACTATCAGTTCTTTCGAACCAATGGGGACGCATACACTAAACATGGATTGGATGCACAGTTCATGGTGATGCCACAAAATGTACGACTATCAATCGCGGAACAAGCGGGCCAAGTGCCACGCCTTGTAGCTGAGGTTTGATGTTCAAGAGACGTGTCGGGTTGCCAACGGGGGGAGAAGACAGACTTACTGCTTCGCCATACGATGTGCACACAGAATGACATGTACCCGCTGACCGTCCTTGCCCATTTCTTTTGTATCCAATCGATCGTGTACCACACCACGACCAGCGGCGTTGCCGTTGCCGACGAAGTTTCGGTGTCCAAGAAGGGAGACGAGCCCGGGCTTCTCGGACCAAGCGGGTTGCTGGCCACATTTGCACACGTCGAAATGGTTATGTTCCTCGCGTGCATCATTTCGGTGAGTTCCCTGGATTTATTGACCTGACGAGCAAGTGGGTGGTGTTTTTACATGTCACAACCTTAACCTAGACACTCACTGCGTGTCGAGAGCTTTCGTCTCAAACCCGACGGCAAAACGGTAAGGGAGGTCAGTTTTGGCATGTGACCATTCCCGAAGCTCACCGCTGTGCGCGCGCGTTGCACGCCTCGAGGGCCTCCCGCTAAATTCTCTCTCGGCGAGTACTGTAGATTCGGTGTTCATGACGCACCCCATGACCAAATGTCAAGACTCGATTGCTTGACAACCAAGGTGGTGCGAACACCAAGCGATACATGCAAGAAAAGCTCCATGTAGACGGGATCTGTCCAAACTCACCCTTTTCAGCAGTGGTGCCCTTCTGGTTGTGGAGGGTTTGAGCCATCAACAGTGGTGGTCTGTGGCTCAATTTGCTTTGGCTTTCGAAAAAAAAACGCCCAGAGAATGAATGATAAGGCTGCATCCTTCCGGGGGGGTAAAAAACGCGGCAAACACCGCAGAGGGAAGCAGAAGTGGAGACGCACACAAAGAATAAATGGACTCCGCCTGTGCTGCACTCGGAAGCAACCGTCTTGTTTCGGGCGCAGACGAGGGTAAACGCCCCACGGTTCGTAGGGTTAGACTCTACCCGTAACGTAGACTCCCGGGTACCGAGGATATGGAGGCTAGATAAGCCGCCGGCACCACAGTAAAAGGTCGAGCAATTAACCGGTTGTGGTGTAGTAACAAGTATCGACCGACACCTGACAGTCTTGAAACAGGCAGGCACAACACATCTTTCTCCTACGAATGGACCTTTTTTGGCAAACAATGCGTGTCTACCAATGAGGAGTAGCGGCTTGCGCTGCGCGAACGGCTCATTCATAAGCTGCCAACGTACCGTCAAACGCGAAGAAGAAGGCGACCGACCAAGGTAGGGGGTTCTAGGGGCGACGCCTAGGGACATACATCTACGCAAACGCGCACAAACAACTCGCGAGAAAGAAAGAACAACATTCAGCCCTTCTTTGTCTTCTTGAGCGCGCTCTGGTTGTTTGTGACACCGTACGCGATCTTCTTCTCGATACAGCAGTATCGGAGCAATCGCGAACTCCGCCACCAATCACGGGGATAGTCCCTCCTGCCACACACACGTTGGGTTTGTGGCCAACGTGGACACCCATCACAGCCTCCCGTCCTCGTCGATGCCAAGCTTCCCACGGTTGGTGTTCGTGAGGCCAGGGTGGCTGGGTTTGACCAAAGAACGCCGCAGGTATGTTTCCGATTGGTTGGACTTCATCAATCAGTAGCACGGCGACCCATGGGGAAGCTTGAGCTTTGCAAGTCAGACCACAGGAGCTGTAGCAGCAGTAGATGCAGTCGGCGGCGGCATCGTCTTATTCGGACCAGCATTTCCGCCAGGCTTTTCAACAAATTGTGGTGCCAACAATGTGTCGATGGAGGCGGTGCGATGCCTCGGCAGGCGTCTGGTCTTTTGGGAAACAACAAGCAAGAGTAGTCTGAGTGCAGCGCGTCTTCCACGATCAGGTGAGAGGTCGACCGGGCCCTTTCATTGCGCTGAGCATGGAAAAAAACATGGCAGGTGTTGTAGAGATAGTACCCTGTCGTTTAGTTGAGTTTGGTGAGGTAGGCGGAGCTGCCCATCAGCGTGACCGGTAGTGGTGCCATATGGTTTACTTCAGACGAGTTTTGTGGGTGGCGAACTGGTATAGGAGGGTAGGGCGATGTATTCACGCAAATTTGAACTCCGCTCAAACGGGTTCGGATGTGCTTTATACGTTGTGTAATCCTGTTGGTTCCTTCGTAAGACGTCCCGAGCACATGCACCAAGAATAAAAGACACAAAGTCTCACTCCCGAAGAGCAGCAGCGAGCAACCTCCTCATGCCATAAAGCAGCACGCCGCAGCGAAGAAGTTCGTGTTCATGCCGAATGTACAACCCCACGTGTATACTAAAGGCCTCATCCAAAGGACGGCCAACCTCCTCACGTACAACGTTTGTTTTCGTGGAGCACCAGTTTGTGGCGTATCAAGTACCGCCAAGACTAGGTGTGAACGTTAGGCGAGGCGGTCCCCAGCTATAGAACGAACAAGGATGCCCGAGAGGCTTCCGGTTCGCGTTTTTCTTGGCGTTCTATCTGTGGATGTATGTAGCCCTCAGGATATCATGACCCTTTTTTTCGGGGGGTTACCTCACTCTCTCCGATGTTTGGTAGTGTACTCTCATCGAGACGGCGCCCATTGTTGTGGGTGCGAATGGCGTTTGCCCGTAGTTGGCGGATGTTGTGTTCCTGAGACCGCGCGTGCGGCTGCTTAATGGCTGTGGTACCATCACAACAAAATATTGTTTTTCTGTCCACTCACTCGAAACAGACACACATACGTACGTACCCTCCAACATTTTGATCCTTCTGAGATCTTTTGCGTCAGAAAATATTTTCGTGTCCGCCGCTGCTACTGCTGCTGCTGATCAACACCAACTTTTCGAATCCCACACTATGTCGTCAACCGAACGTATTGTGTTGCTTCTCTGCATGCAGGCAATCCACGAGCGGTGCTTGCACCAGGATGGCGCGATGGAGAGACTCTGGATGAGGGTGGTGGGTGGGTGGGCGGGCGGGTGGGTGAAGAACCACGACACCCGCTCTCCGAGGCGGACGGAAACTATCGCACTTGTACGTGCACAGATTCTTGGCGTGCCTTTGCACCGCAGCCAGTGTACGGTACCCCTCGGAGGGAATGTGCTAAGAGCGTGGGGAGTGAGTGGGGATTGCTGTCTGTTCAAGGCATCGCGAACAAGTGCTTGTGGCTGTCGTTTGAGTTGCCGTTGACCTCGCTATCGGCAGGGTTGTTGTACCAAACATGCCGGGAGCATTCCAAGGATGGGACTAGACACGTCAATGAAGAAAACGCCGATGCACACTTCGAAGTACACTTCTCATCAGTAGCACGTTCAACGAAGATATCCTGGGGAGCTCGTCTTCTCGGCTGTCGTCTTCGTCAATTTCGACCCCCCTCCATATACCTATGCTTTACAACCTTTGCCCCATGTGCGGGTTGTCTACCCCTCGCCTTGTTTGCCCACTCCGCCTCCCAAGCTGTTTCGGCAACCTCTCCTCTCATATATCGTACATACGGTACGACATTTAGCGTCATTTGTATCTCTTCCAGGTCGAGGTGGGAGGGGCGGAGGGGACATTCTTAGCCTCTGGTCCACTCAGCAGTAGTCTAGACTACACAGTGCATGATGTACACCGATGGAAAGACAGGTGCATAACAACGCTAATGCGAAAGACTGTTCCGAAGGACCTAGCAGGCAACTAACATATGCATACATGGCGTACAGTATCTGACCAAGGGGAACCGGTGGCCTGTCCTTGCATCCTTGGATCTCGTCCATGATGTTCCAACATTCAAATATTCAAATGTAGACTACTTGTAATGGTCGCTGGGATTTGTGGGTAAACCTTCATTGCGTGGCACTACTGCTGTATGACAAGCAAGGCTTAGGACCCGAACACGCCTTGTAGATTGCGTTCCTCGCCGCTCCTATTTTCTTGTCGCCACGAGTGATACATCTGTAGCAAACAAGACAACGAGACCCCATGCATGTGCGCATGTGCGACCGACAGGCGACTTTCTGGTCTGGTTTTGGTGGCCTGTCGCCTGTCGTTGCAATTCTCCGGAGATCCTACGCAACAGTCCCGCCAAAAAAAAGGCCGTTGGAACCTTTTGGCTTTTGGGGGCTCGGGGAGAGAGAGAACAAAGGAAACAAGAGAGGCGAGCGCCAGCAGTTACATGCTCGTGCACACACGGACTGAGAGCAAGCTCTGGCAAGACCATCGCAGTGCCAGCGACCGTGTTCGGTGTGCTGTCCGTACACACCTCGCTCGGAGATTTCGAACAAAGCTAGGCTGAAAACTGTACAAGCGCGGGACAACCTGCAAACCAGCCGCTAAAGGCCGATAACTGGTATCCAAGCTCTCGAGGATGGTGGTCAGCGAGACAACCGGCAAGGACAGCAGTAGGCGAGGGAGCAGCGCGTCTCCGATCCGGGAGAGGTTGAGGCGCAAGCCACGGCAGGATTGGTTGGTTACCGTGGGGCAGGGACGCAGCCCGGCGAGGACGCTGAGGAGGGAGAGCAAGGGTCGGGCGACGAGCAGGAGTCCTGGGAGGAGCAAGAAGTTCGATTCGGCCAGGCTGTCCTTTGGCGGGCTCGAGCAGGTCTGTCTGTGTGCGGTGGGACGATGGAATACGTGGGATGCCTTGCTGGTTCAGCCGTTTGCTCCTGTTTGCATGATCTATTGTAGGTGGGTTGTGAGTTGGAATATACAAAGTACAGGCATGTGGTGACGTGTTGGCCGTTGTTGCAAAGGAAACAACTCTAATTTACAAGTACACTTACATTGGAAGTATACAAGAACGTCATCGCCCGAGCCGTCGAATCACCACCCGGCGCGAGACAACCCTTCGATCATATATTTGCCATGTAGCCATAGACTCCGCAGTGCACAGGCGTTTTTTGAAGGTCTGACATGACTTGCTGAACCAAGAGACAAAGAAACGTCGTTAAAGATAGGATAGCTGTCGCTACAACGAGCGACAGCTGATCATGTAACTGTCGTCAGACGTGTGCGTCCACGGGCGGAAGTGCGTGTTACTGAGGCGTATTCCGACGTATCCGCCGTGCCCGCTATGCATGTGTCGCTGTGCCCGCTGTGCGTGTGTTGTCTGCTTTGCGTGTGTGCCTGTGCGTGTGTTGTTCTGCAGCTGCACTCTGCTGCGTGCTAAGAACAAAAAAAACACGTGCGGTCTGCTGACCCCTCTTCATGTACTGTAGTCTAAAACCTAGATAATCCGACAGACGTACAAACTTTTTTTTTTTATGGAGGGCAATATTGCGCTGAAACGTCATAGGCCAGATTAGAAATCTCGCTTCGCTCGAATAATTGCTTAGAACCGTGGATGTCAGACCCCCCATAGAGAAGGCAAGACCGTGCGGTAGGTGGATACACTGGGAGCGACGGTCATAGATGAAACGACCGTCATAGATGAAACGATGAAAGAACATTCAAGCTTCACAGTGTGCAAAATGGTAGGAGTACCGTGGTGTGTCAGGGAACAACCCGCTGGGTGGGGCCCCTCCAGCCCCCTACAGTACGGTGCCATGATGCAACAATGCTCTCTGCTAGCCTTAACCCTAAGGAGAGAACCATACACCAACAACGCGCAAAACTCTCCGCCACAAGCATGTAGTAGATAGAGGTGGCGCGCAGGAGCCGAGCAACCGCGAAGAAGTCCGCACGAACCAGGCCGACCGATCGACCGACCGACCGAAAAGACCGACCCAATCCAACCCATCCAACCCATCCAACCCTCTCCCAATGGTGGCCAAAGACGGGGCGACGGCGGCGTGATCAACGACGGCGTGGCCCAAGGCCCCTCGATCGACCCACCGACCGGCCGACCGACCGACCGACCGACCGAGATCTTGTCTGCCACGGTTTTGTAGCCGGGGCTGTACAACCCATGCCCACAGCATCGCCATGCGGATATCGCGTACGGCATGGACCTCAGCTGCTGTTGCTAACTATCACCCCACCCGCGAAAACATGTGTGCTGTTCGGACCCGCCGCACATAACGCAGGACCCAAAGCCCCGTCGATCTCGAACGCCGCCACAAGCGGACGACGGCACCCCTTCTTCTCCCACCACGCCCGAGCCTCGATCCCGGAAACATCGACCCGGCCCGTCGCCTTCCTCTGCAGATTCTCTCAAAGGGCGCTCCCACACCTCGCCGATGCTCCTCGCTAGTGTTACATCGGTCGCCACCGCTCCGCCTACCGCGGCCTCATCGACGGTGGAGCGGCGGTCCCCGGCGTTTCCCCGGTCGGCGGCGGGCGTCGATGGCAACAAGGCCGGCTCTCCGTTCGGCCGCTCCGTAGAGCTTCGGCCACCTTCACCGTCGTCAACCCCGGTGTCACCGTCGACCGCCGCTGCTGTTCCGAAAACGGACTGGCTCGCCGCGGCGATCTCAGGGGGCCGCGGAGAAAGCGGAGGAGAGGAGGTAGCTGGTGCTCAGACAACAACAACAACAACAACAACAACAACAACAACAGCAGCAGCAATTGCAGAAGGAAAATTCCACAGCACTGGGGGGATGAAAGTGGCGGCGGAAGAGAGGAACGCGAAGCTAAGCTCCCTGTTGCTGCTATCCCCGGGGAAAGAATACTGGGCGGACAGGCTCGCGGCCAAAGGCCCGCGGGACTCCGGAAGCCCGCAGTCGCTTGCTCGCAGCAAGGCCAGACACAATACCTTCGGGTGGGACGGCGAAGATGGTTCGAGCTCCCCCCCCGCCAGAGGACACAACGACGCCCCCAGCTACACCGACCGGGGGCAACAGCACCAAGAGGGGGTGAACGGCGGCCCTAAATCGGCGGGCTCGCCAAGAAAGAAGGACTTTCGGTCGTTCACGGCCGTCAAGAAGGTTGCGCCGCTGTCTCCCGTCGTCGTCGGCGGCACTAGCCCGTCCGTGTGGTCTACGCAGGCGTTCACCAGCCCCGGTGGCGGGGGAGGAGCGGAAAGGCGGGGACGGCTTGATCTGAGCCCCTGGCGAGCCCGGAAGCCGGGGCAAGGGTTGTCACCGCCGCGTCAGGCGTCGCCGTCGTCCTCGCCGCGAAGCCTCGCAAAGGGGGATTGGCGGCGGGGCCCCGCAGGCGTGAGACCGGGCCAGGCGGGGGCTTCGCGTAGCCTCAGCCCCTTGGCCGGAGGTAGGGCGGCGGGCTTCGGCAAGACGTCGTCCATGAGGTTCGGCCGCGGTATAGATCCCCTGGGTGCTGGTTTTGGGGCAGGGAGCCGAGGTGCAAGCTCTTCGACGAGACAGGTGAAACGACGCCTCCCTAACGACGGCTAGCTAGAGTTTCGGGGGTGGTGGTGCTCTCTTGCTCCGTTTGCTTGTCCGCGACGTCGTCTCGAAATTTGGTACATAGTCCTCTCCGGGGGAATGGAATTTGTTCGCTTCAATCCTCGGGTTGGGATTTTTTGCGGAGGCATGCCAGGATTGGTGAATCCCCACCCAACGATGTGGCCACACCCTGCCATACAGTATGGAACCGACTTTGTAACCCTTCCTCCCTCATACCACCACCCCCCCCCCCCCGCCCGTCTACCTCAAACACGTGGAAAATCGACGTTCGCTTCCTTCCTCGGGTTGGGATGTTGTGCGGAGGGAGGCATGCCAGGATTGAAGAACCCCCCCCCCCTTAAATCCAACGATGGCCACACCCTGCCATGCTGTTATCGAACCATGTCTGTACCCCTTCCTCCCCACCCCCCCGTCTACCACGTGGAAAACCCTGATAAAAGGTCTCCCAAGAGGAGCCCGCCTCGCCGCTACTCTCCCTGATCGGCGGCTACAGCAGCAGCAGCAGCAGCAGCAGCCGCAGTGGCGCAAGGAGACCGCGCACGACCCCTTCGACCCTCCCCTCCGTCGCCTCCGGCGGCGGCAGTGGCTGCGTTGACGCTACCGCGGTGGTGGCGCAAGATGCGGAAGGCCTCGAGCAAGCCACGACGGCGCCGCCGCTGTGCGACGGCAAACCAGAGGAGGCTGCGGATGAGGCTTCCGGTCACGGGGGTATCACTGCTGGAGATGGTGGTGGTGCTGCTGCTGCCGCGGCTGCTGTTGAGATGCCGGAGTCGTGTGCTGCCGAGAGGGAGGAAGCGGAAGTCGATGCCGACGACGATGGGGCCAACGGAAAAGAAGAAGGGGGAGCGTTGCTCGCCGAGAGGGAGGAGGTGAGCGGGGAAGGCCGCGCAGAGGGGAATGCGTCTGATGGAACGGCGGGACTGCTGACCGTGGAGGTAAGGAAGGATGAGCCTCACGGCGATAAATTTCTCTTTGTTTGGGGCGTTGTTGCTATTGATAGATGTACATATAGGGGTGGTGTTGGTTTTGGCCATGAAATTATCGCGTTAGGCTTGGGACAACCGCTACGACTTACTGTTGTTGTTGTGTAGGCTTGCGGGCATGCCTTCGTGGTCATATCCACCCTCGCCCTATCACCAAAAGCCTTGTATTTCGGTAGAGCGACGGTGGCATGCTCCCCCGGTTGTGCGTTTAAAGAAGAACACGCCGCTCCTTTCGTTTTTCAAAGGGCTGATAAGGCAGGCTTCTGGTATGCCCACGTGGGCTGGATGGTTGTTTTTTCTCTTGGTGGATACTATCGGCCGGGAGTGGCAACGTAGAGAGAACAAGACGAAACCATCGCGCTGCCGTTCCTAGGGCTCCAAACCATCCCGCGCTGGTGTGAGAGAGCTGCAGCCGTAGTCGGTTCGTATCATCCATCCTGCTCACTTCGCCCCCGACCATAGGTTCATTTGTTTCCAGCTTACCTCCCCTGCTTCTTCCGTGGCGATGTCCTCTTTTCCCAACAAAACCCAATATACCCCTTTTGCCAGACAAAGGACTTCGGCGAGATGTCGGGTGGCACTACCGTTGTCAACAACCCGGCCGGAGCGGAACACGACGACCCGCTTCGTCCCACCCTCGTCGTCACCGCCAGACCCTCCCCCCTGCGAGCCCAGCTGCAGTCCCCCATCACCCAAGACCCGAGCCCCTGCACCAGCGACGGCCTCCACTTTGCGATTTCCGACGGCATCCCGCCGGACGGGGGCCCGGGGGGGGACGCAGCAGGGCGGCTTCCGCCATCGCCGCAAGCAACAGGGGCGGTGGTGAGGGAGGGACCGAGACCGCCGTTACATGGAAACGGGGGTGGGTTTACGGGCCACGTGCCCCCGGGCGTCCGCATCGTCGGGAGAACGGCTGCCGGGAAGCAAGCCGGCGCCGCTTCCGGTGGTGGCAGCGACGGCGGCGGCGGCGGCGGCGGCGGAGCCTTGGCGGGAGAAGCGCCGACCGGTCGGCGTGACCGCTCGGCTTTGTCGTCGTCGCCGTCCTCGGTGTGCTCCGAGGGAGGAGGGACGGGGCCGCCGCGGGGGGGAGAGGTGAAGCTGTTTGTGAGCACCCCGACGGGGGAGGGTGACGCTTCGGACCTGTCCCTCTGGGTCACCACGAGGGGTTCCGAAGAAGGAGGCGGAGAGGGAGCGGCGACGCCGGGAGACGGCGCGGCTTCGCCGTTGCCCTCGCCTCTTTCGGTGCGGTTGTCGCCGGTGGCGGCGAAAAGCCTGGAGGATGATGACCCGGGGATCGATGCCGGGGATGGTGCCTCGAACGCGGTCGATCTCGAGGAAGAAGTCTTCGAGAAGGACCTCGAGAACGGTCTTGGGCTCGGGGCTAAGAATGGTCTTGAGGCGAGGTCCGGTGACGGGGAGGGGGGCGCATCCGGAGAGGCGGAGAACGAGGCTGAAGTTCTTCTTGAGGAAGAAGGAGCCACTCGCTGTCTACTGCAACCATCGGAAGGGCCTGAGGCGGCGGAAGAAGCCGGCGGCGACAACGAGGACCCCGAAACAGCGGTGTCTCAAGGGGAAGTGGAAAGCGCGGCCGAGAGTCTCTCCGGTGCGGAGGTCCCTCTGCTCGACAGCAGCAAAACAATCCCATCAACAACGGCGGAAACGGCAGCAAACGTGGAGAAGACGGAAGTGGGCGGCATGGAAGGGCCCTGGGAGGCGGTTGCCCGGGTCTTCTGCGGTATTTTCAACTTTTGTCGACCCCCCGGCGGTGAGGGTGGACAGCGGGGCGAGAAATGAGACCCCCCCGACATCCGTGCCGTGGGACCCGAAGGTCATGCTAGGGGAAGGGGTAATAATGTTCTGCGAAGGCGCGGGGGGGGGGACACGGTTGTACGGGGGGCGGCGGAAGGGCGAAGCGAACATTCACCAAATACCCGGACGGGAAAAACATTTTGGTCTGGAAGTAGACAGCTTCTGAGACCTTTCCACCGCCGGCGCTATGTGTCCTGCTGCCGTGGAATTCCATCATCACCTCGCGGAAACCCGCGATGTTGATTGGGTCTGGGAAGTATACACGGTCAAGCACCGAAACGAAACTGATTGGCTGAGCGGTTTTTTATTCTTATTCTTTTTTTGTACCTCATCGCGATTGTGGCCCACTTCTCGAAGTGGGCAAGGCGGGGCCGGGGCGGGGGCGGCGGGATGTGGCGTTCGAAATGTTTCCACGCCCGCAGGGGATGAAAAGCGCATGGACCAACAGGGTGGATGCTTGTGGTGATGTATATGAGAGCAACTCTCATCATTGTAACATTGTTTCGTGTTGCTGTTGCTGTTCTGTGTGCTTGTGTGCGTGTCAGGTTTCGTTGTGTGTGCAGCGTGATGTATCGATGTATCGCCGCGCCGTTTTCGCTTGGCATGTACATGGAAACCGTACTTCCCACGCGCTTGGCATGTTTGCGTACAGTATGAAAATCGTACAACCACGCTGTTGGAAACATTTGGCAGTGATGCACGGTCGGCAGGCCGAGTGGTGGCTTTTTTGTCGCGGTGTTTTTTTTGTGTAACGTGTATTTTTTCTTTCTCGTTCCATCTGTTCCTTGGCGCCAGTCTCTGCCCCCTTTCGGTATGTGGTTTTGATACACCGAGTGGTCTCCGCATGACAAACTTTCGAGTACCCACTCCTTTCTGAGAAAGGGGTGGGTATTTCCACATTTGTCTGTTTCCCTTAGCCGGTGCCACCCAGGAGGAAATTTCCGTCTGTCCTTTCTGCGGTACTTGCCTTCTAGTCTGATGCGATGCGAGATGGGTTCAGCACTCCCTCCCCTCCTTGTTGTTGTATGTACTCACACGACTTTGCAACTAGAGCTTGACGAGGTTTGTTTTTAAAAGGTTATCAACCAGCTGAAATATTCAGCAACTGCTGAGTGACCAAGGTTTGGGATGTGGCCAACACCCGCAGATTGAGGCGAAATGGTGAAGGAGGGGGGCTTCGCTCCAGCGAGAGCTATTTTCAAAATCGCGTTTTAAGAGGTGATGACCTAAACATGAATGGATTCAACACCTTGATGGATGTTTTCGTGTTGCGACAACGTCCGACAGAGTGCAGAGGGAATCGTGGGGGAAAAGTGGGCAAATGTTCATACGTCGCCGGAGGGGCAACGGGTAAGGTATCTACATGTTTCATCTCTTGTTTTCTAACGCCACGTATCATCCCCGCAGGCGGTTTTATCGCGTCTTTTGCGTTTGCAATGGTGGGTTTGCTGGTGGCATATTCCTTCGGTAGATGAAGGGAGGGAGGGCCTCCTGTTGTAGGGCGCATGCTCGGTCTCCGTTGCGACAAAAGACGGACCGTGTTGCCATAGACCCTGAGATTTCGAAGTTTTCCTTCGAAGCGCCAGTTCTGGAATCTATTCCACCATATGCGGTTTGTTTTTCTGCTAGGAAGTCGTTTTGGTCGTGCGTGTCTTGGGGCAAAGGTTCAGTTACCCGCCCGTCAAGGCAAGACCTCGTCTCCAGCATGTAGAAGCAACGTTCGTGAATACCTATCCTATCTCCTGCGCGTGTTTTTTTTATCTGAAGGAACTCGAACGAGGAGAGGGTGTGGGCGGGAGGGGGGAGCCACGAATTATCATTGATTGTCGAGCATTTTCTGTGTTTTTAACTGTGTAGTTGGTGTTTGTGTCGTTCAATAGCTGGGCCTTGGCGTTCTTAACGCTTGTCAGCCGGCTCGCCCGGCGCTAAGAAGCTGCATTTTTTATTGCTTGGTCCGCGCTGAAACGAGACTCTGGGAGGCATAAATTCGCGTTTAAGGTCGGCTTGATTCCCCGCTACAGTACCTTCTCGCTGCGTGTAGGTCTCTCGTTTATTCTCAGTTCTGTTGCCTAGCTTATCGCCGTTATGGCCATCCCCGAAGCGGGAAACCAGAGGGGGTGCAATGTTTCTTGCGGTCGGACAATAACCCTCTTGGTGCACAAGGAAGCACGTGTAAGAGACTTGCCAGCAGCTGCACGACGGAGGGGGTCTCCACTTGCTAAATAGCTTTTCTTCCCGCTGGCCTAGAGTAGACGGAGTCTTGCCATTGGAGGGAGGTTGCACAAAGCACAGTCGCTGTATGTATGGGTTGGTCATTGCTTCTCCGGCGTCGCTGTATTATTTTATTTCAACAGTAAGGAGAACGTCACGACAGTCCTCTGTCTCCCAGCGAGCGAGAATGTAGAGAGAGCCGTCTGAAATGTCAGTGTCGTGCCGGGTGACGAACGCCTGGAGAACAAGAAACCCAGAGAGCAAGAAGCCCAGAGTTACTTGCCGTGGTCATGTTCGGAGGCAGAGTGGGGAGGGCTGGATTTCATCTGGGGGCATTTTTTTTCTGGGTTTCTCTCGAGGAACATCGGCTTTTTTTTTTTGTTTTTCGCCTTTTTGTTGCCTGCGTGTCAGTGTAATCGGACGTATGGCAGCGGACGTACACAGCGAAAAACCCGTGGAATCATTCCCAGAAGAATGTGAAGAAATGGGTCGACTTGCTGCCAGCCGGTCGAGTTCCGGCTACCCCTACCAACCTTATTCTTGCCTAGCAACCAAGAAGACCCGAAGAAGACTCGAAGGGGGGGGGGGGGGGGGGCTGAATTGAAATTCCCCCTGAAAAAAATTCAAACCCCCCCGGGTTTGTGGGGGAAGATTCCCGCCTTTCACGAAATAAACCGTTTTCTTTGGGAAAGAAAGTGCCCACGCAATTTCTGGCTAAGGGGTTTTTTAAATAAAAACCTTTAAACAACCCAAAATTTTTTTTTCCCCCGGGGGTGGGGGGGGGGGGCACCCCCAAAATACGCCGCCAAAAAAAAACTTTTTGGGTGGGGGATTAAAACAGTAGCCGGGGGGCAAAAAAAAAAAAAAAAAAAATCCAAGGGGTTTCCTTTCTTTTTCCCCCCCCCCCCCCCAGGGGAAACGGGAAAAAAAACTCCCCCAAAAACCCCCTTTTTTCAATTTTTTTGAGGAAAAAAAGGGGGGGATTTTTTCTTTTGGTTGGGCCCCCCCCCCCCCCCCCCCCCCCCCCCCCC